ATAATCCTTTGGGCGTATACCCAGTAATGGGATTGCTGGGTCAAATGTTATTTCTATTTCTAGATCCTTGAGGATCGCCACACTGTCTTCCATGATGGTTGAACTAATTTACACTCCCACCAACAGTGTAAAAGTGTTCCTATTTCTCCACATCCTCTGCAGCATCTGTTGTCTCCTGATTTTTTAATGATGCCATTCTAACTGGCATGAGATGGTATCTCAATGTGCTTTTGATTTGCATTTCTCTAATGACCGGTGATGATGAGCTTTTTTTCATATGTTTGTTGGCTGCATAAATGTCTTCTTTTGAAAAGTGTCTGTTCATATCCTTTGCTCACTTTTTGATGGGGTTGTTTATTTTTTTCTTGTAAAATTGTTTTAGTTCTTTGTAGATTCTGTATATTGGCCCTTTGTCAGATGGGTAGATTGCAAAATTTTTTCCCATTCTGTTAGTTGCCAGTTCACTCTAATGATAGTTTCCTTTGCTGTACAGAAGCTCTTAAGTTTAATTAGATCCCATTTGTCTAATTTGGCTTTGTTGCCATTGCTTTTGGCGTTTTAGTCATGAAGTTCTTGCCCATGACTATGTCCTGAATGGTACTGCCTATGTTTTCTTACAGGGTTTGTATGGTGTTGGGTCTTATGTTTAAATCTTTAATCCATCTGGAGTTAACTTTTGTATAAGGCGTAAGGAAGGCATCCAGTTTCAGCTTTCTGCATATGGCTAGCCAGTTTTTCCAACACCATTTATTAAATAGGGGATCCTTTCTCCATTGCTTGTTTTTGTCAGGTTTGTCAAAGATCAGATGTGTGGCATTATTTCTGAGGCCTCTGTTCTGTTGCATTGGTCTGTATCTCTGTTTTGGTACCAGTACCATGCTGTTTTGATTACTGTAGCCTTGTAGTACAGTTTGAAGTCAGGTAGTGTGATGGCTCCAGCTTTGTTTTTTGTTTTGTTTTGGTTTTTTTGTTTTTTGCTTAGGATTGTCTTGGCTATGTAGGCTCTTTTTTGGTTCCATATGAAGTTTGGCATGCTGATTTTTAAAAGAATGTGGCTAACTGTGCACTAGCCTTTAACACCAAGGTCCATTTGTGTATACATAGATATGTTCATCTAACTATGCCTAGAGCTAGATAAGGGAATATTCACTTGGAAAATATAAAGACTAACAATTAAAAGTAAATGTTAGATAGTTCCTACATTTGCGGGCATTATAGAAAGTGTAGCCAGAAGCGAGAAGAGTGGATTCTCCTCTCTCTTTTCCTGGTTAATAATCTTTCATTTTATGTTCATCTTGAGTTGACTTATAAATGTGCTACACAATGTTGGATTTTGGATCACTCCTGAAAGATTTTCAAATTAGTGACTCTCTTTTCAAACAAAACTTCTAATATTGAGAACAACTCAATCTACTCATTGGATAGACTGACCCTAAGAAGTGTATTTTGCTCAGAGTCCTTACTAAATGCAGAAGTCAAAAGATTGTCATAGAAGTATAAGGACTTTTAATCAAGTCACCACCGCTATGTAATGGCATGTACAATAAGCTCATACAATAGGCTGCATGTGGTTGGGAACATTGCTGAGACAACAGAAATCCCTAATGCCATACTGGGAAAGGGAAAACTTCAGAAAGCAATGGGGCTGTCACATGTCCCTATTACTGTATGTGCATGAAGGTTGATGCCAAGGAGAATATGCAAACCCTTAAGTAATTCCCAGCTGAATTTACTTTTTTGTATGGAATTAATTCACTGTGTCTTCACTTTGGCAGGTGTATACACAGTAATATTTGTTAAAATATCCAGACCCAGGAGCTTTAAGGGGTCCTCCTAGAGTTTTTGCTGAGTGACTTTAAAGACCCTTTTTCTTCTATGTGCTCATATTACAGAGGTTAAGCCCATCTTCCAGGACTTTGCTAGTAATAGTAAGAGACTATTAACATAGTATGAAACTCTGCTGAAATAAAGTCCCCTTCTGAGAGATACCATAACCAGAAAGTAATGGATATAGGGCAAATTTGTAACAGCAGGTAATCAAAAAGTCAGATGTCTGGGACTGCGTATAGTGTCTGTACTTACATTCAAATGGCTTCCTTGATATCTGTAAATTCCGCTAAATTGCCATGTCCAATACTTTTGATAATGGAGGAGGGAGTTGTCACAGTCTTCTCTGGCTCACTCTCTCATGCACAGCTGGGGGCAGCTGAATTAAACCTCCTCCAGTGTTCTCTAAGCCCTAATCCCCCAAGCACAGGCTCTGCAGAACCAACTTTCCCCTGCTCTCCAGATCCATCCAATTACATCTCAACTCCCACTAACCCCTTTGTCCATTATCTTGATCATATATGATTGGTTTATTCCACCCCATTTATCACCCATGTTCTGTCCTTTAGTGCCTTAAGCCTAGGTTATTGCATGGGCCCTTTCTCTCTCCAGTATCTCTCTTCTCCACCCTAACCCACCCACCATGACCAGACCAATAACCCTAAAGCAGTGCCTTCATCATGATACTGCAATCAAAATTTTACACCTACAAGATGAAGCCTGAAACCCTGTGCCTGATATTTTAGGTCCTCCATCATCTGGCACAACTATTCCTCTACATAAATCTTTTTCTCTAACTCCCTCCCCAGACTGCCTTAAGCATACCAGGAGCACGCTGGCTTAGTGTCTTTGTTCATACCACAGCCATGACATATTCTTCCTGCTGGGGCAAGCACCAAAGACTAGCTGGCCTAGGACTTGGAATTAGAAATAGGTGAGGCAGGAATGGAGACAGGTTTCTTTGGATAGATTTGAAAGTGTGAGCTTTTACACATCTGAATAAAATTTTTTTCTCATGAAACGTCTTATACCCCCAAGGTATGAGACTCAGGAGGTATATCTATTCAGCTTATGACCTTTAGGAATATAATCAATATTATATAAAATTGAATTCAAAATGTCATGGAACTTTTTGTTCTTTGATATAGAGCTTCAGTTTTGCAAGATGAAAAAGTTCTGGGCTGGGAGTGGTGGCTTACACCTGTAATCTCAACACTTTGGGAGGCCAAGGCAGGTGGATTGCTTGAGGGCAGGAGTTTAGGACCAGCTCGGGCAACGTGGCTGTTAGTTAACAGTGGCAAGTATCCAAGCCACAGGTCTGCAAAGTGTGTTACTGGCAGAACATATCAGTATCCATTCAGGTCTACAGCAACCTCAATTATTGCCTCCTCAGAAGGAAGAATTAGACTGAGGAGCATAAGGCAGAAGGAGAGATCAAGGCAAGTTTTAGAGCAGGAGTGAAGGCTTATGATAAAGCTTTAGAGTAATAAGGAAAGAAAGTATACTTGGAAGAGGGCCAAGCAGGTGGCTTGAAAGGCAAGTGCACGGTTTGAACTTTTGACTTGGGGTTTTATGCATTGGCATACTTACGGGCTCTTCCATCCCTTCTCCTAACTCCTAAGATCTTATTGGGAAGTGGCTGATCACCAGTTTCAGGTGTTTTCTATCTATTAGAGGATGGCCTTTCCCTGGTGCCAGCTGTGACCCAGTATTACTTTAGAGAGACAGTTAACTGCCTGACCACCTGATGATCACCCAACACTCCTGGTTTGTATGAGGTGGGGGCCCTCTCCGACCCTGCTCATACCAGACTAGCTACCCACTGTAACATAGTGGGACCATGTTACACACACACACACACACACACACACACACACACACACACACAAGCCTGGCATGGTGGTGTGTGCCTGTAACCCCAGCTACTAGAGAGGCTGAGGCAGGAGGATCACTTGAGCCCAGGAGATTGAGGCAGTGAGCTATGATTGTGCCACTGCACTCTGGCCTAGATGACACAGAGTGAGAGCCTGTCTCAAAAAAAAAAAAAAAAAAAAAGTTATTGATATTGGTTGCACTTAACAGTACTTTAACAGTACACTTAAAAATGGTTAAGATGGGCCGGGCGCGGTGGCTCACGCCTGTAATCCCAGCACTTTGGGAGGCCGAGGCAGGTGGATCATGAGGTCAAGAGATCGAGACCATCCTAGTCAAAATGGTGAAACCCCGTCTCTACTAAAAATACAAAAAAAATTAGCTGGGCATGGTGGCGCGTGCCTGTAATCCCAGCTACTCGGGAGGCTGAGGCAGGAGAATTGCCTGAACCCAGGAGGCGGAGGTTGCGGTGAGCCGAGATTGCGCCATTGCACTCCAGCCTGGGTAACAAGAGCAAAACTCCGACTCAAAAAAAAAAAAAAAAATTGGTTAAGATGGACTGGGCATGGTGGCTCACGCCAGTAATCCCAGCACTTTGGGAGGCCAAGGCAGGCGGATTACTTGAGATCAGGAGTCAAGACCAGCCTGGCCAACATGGTGACACCCCATTTCTACTAAAAATACAAAAATTAGTCAGGTGTGGTGGTGAGCGCCTGTTATCCAAGCTACTCAGGAGGCTGAGACAGGAGAATTGCTTGACCTGGGAAGCAGAGGCTGTAGTGAGCCAAGATCATGCCACTGCACTCCAGCCTGGGCAACAGAGCAAGACTCCCATCTCAAAAAAAAAAAGGTAAGATGATTGATCCTCTCTATACCTCACCAGATGGATTCTATTATTCTCTCCAGCCTGACTCTGGAATCTAAGAGAAAGGCAAAATTCTTTGGTTTATCTTTTGGTTCATCTCTTTCAAAATATCAGATGCCAGAATATTCCAACAGAATGTCCAAATCAAGAGAAGAGAAAAAGTAAATGTATGTTTCTGTAGTCAATTGTATTCACGTGGAGATATTTGTTTACAGCTTTAAATAGTGCTCAGAAAACCTCAACAAAGGAATGGGCATCTTACAAGTGTTTGTAAGTATGTAATTATGATACTCATCTTTTGAATATATTAAAGTTAGACATGTCCCCCTGAAAGTTTTGCTGCATGACAGTGAACTAAAAATATAACAGCTACAGCTACCATCTACTGAATGCTTGGTTTCATTTAACAAAAAATAAGTATTCTTAATTTTCTTAAAATAAAAGAGCTTCTGAAGTGGTGACTTCTGCATGTCTGAGGCTGGCAGCACTTCACAGCACCCCTCCTTCCTCTTCTCTGCACGAGCCAGCCTTGGCTGTGTGACTACCGTCCCAGTCCAATCAGATGCAGAATAAAAAGGAAAAGGTTGATGATGTCTAAGTAGATGTTCAGGACAGCAAAAACATACTCTTCAGGGTCCAGGGAATAATGGTGGTGCCCTCCCAGCATGAGCTGCACATCCATCACCAAGTACTTGAAGAAAAGGAAGAATTAGCTACTTAAATTGTACATTTCTATGAAATAAGTATCCCAAATGATCTGGGAAAAAATGCTAGCATCAGGAGAAACGCTGTAGAAAGTCTATTTTGGGCTGAATATGTTCTTACAGCCTCAATCAGTCACTGGGTCACCAAGTTTGTACTCTGTAAAAGCAGGTGCCTTACCTGAGCTGCAAGTCCCTTCTCCCCACTTGTCCCTATGTCTCATTCCAGAACCTTTGGAAGCAAAGAAAGCTAAGGTGGCCAATTATTCCAATTTGCCCAAGACTTTTGGATATTCTGGGAAACTCCTCAGTCCCAGGCAAACTGGGAAACTGGGAAAGTTGGTCACCCTTGTTAAAAAGGAAAAATAAAAAGTCCCAATGGCTGAGCATGCAGCTTTGCTCTTAGCCTCCATCTATCACCCTGTGGAGTCCCAGCTCCTATGGAGAAGTGGTTTTCTTTCCCTTCCCTCCCCAAATCTCTGACTTTAATTTATTGCTTCTTATAAGAGACTCTCAATCATTTCACAGACATGCATGGGATGTAGCTTCTCAGAAGAGGTTATGTGCTTGAGGGTAGACAGGAACATGGGAGAGTGAGAGGACCTTGATCCAGTGGTTCCCCACCCTGTCCAGGAGGAACAGGGCTCAGGACACCACCCAAGACACAACCAACCCACAGGGAAGCCCCAGCCAGGATTCAGATTCCTGTGAGCATTTCAGAATGAGGCACCTTGCCTCACCCGCATGCCCCCCAACTCTGATAGTTAAGCATCAGCGCACACACACCCCAAAATTCGGTTTCCTTCTCCAACAATTTGTTTGGTATTGGGTAGACCTGTTTGAGACAATAGTTCTTGCTCTGCCTGCAGACGGGAAACAGAAACATCAACATAATTTTGCATGGAAATGTCTGCAAGCATCAATACAGCAAGCATCAACACACAAAGTCTGAGAGTGTAGGAATAAAGGAAACTGAATGCAAGTAATTTCCCTTTATAATGGGAAAAGAAATGAGAAAACTGAAAGGTATGTGCTTAACCTTGTCTACAGCCATACCACCCTGAACATGCTCGATCTTGTCTGATATATACATGCTTAACCTTAACCTCCTGGTGTGAGTTTTTCTAACTATTGAAAGATATAACACAATTCCAACAACAAAAAGGAAGCAAAATGTGGATAGTTTTTAAGCTTTATGATAACATATGGGGTTCATTACACCATTCTCGATACTTCTGAATATGTTTAGAAATTTTCAAAATAAATAATATTAAAAAACAAAATCCCAGTGGGCACAGTGGCTCATGCCTATAATTCTGGCACTTTGGGAGTGCCAAGGCATGTTGGACTGCTTGAGTTCAAGAGTTTAAGATTAGCCTGGGCAACATAGCAGGACCTTGTCTCTACTAAAAATAAAAAATCAGCCAGGTGTGGTGGCATGTGCCTGTAGTCCCAGATACTGGAGAGGCTGAGCTGGGAGGATCGCTTGAGCCCAGGAGATAGGGCTGCGGTGAGCCATGATCATGCCACTGCACACCAGCCTGGGTGACAGAGCAAGACCCTGTCTCAAACAAACAAACAAACAAACAACAACAAGACAACCCTGAAAGATGTGATATGATAAAAGCATGAAATGGAATTCCATGTAGCCCTTGAAAAAAATTAGTTGGACCCAGGTCTGCTAATAGGTGGAGGCCATTATTTTTAAGTGAAAAATCAAAGGCAGGCCAGGCGTGGTGGCTCACGCCTGTAATCCCAGCACTTTGGGAGACCAAGGCGAGTGGATCACCTGGGGTCAGGAGTTCAAGACCAGACTGGCCAACATGGCAAAACCCCATCTCTACTAAAAAATACAAAAATTAGCTGGGCACATTGGCATGCACCTGTAATCCCAGCTACTGGGGAAGCTGAGGCAGGAGAATCACTTGAACCCAGGAGGCAGAGGTTGCAGTGAGCTGAGATTGCACCACTGCACTCCAGCCTGGCGACAGAGTGAGACTCTGTCTCAAA